CTTTCCCCTTCTGGGTGAAGGGCGAGGGGATAGAGAGAGAGTAAGAGAAAGCAGAACTACTGCAAGGGTACTGCAAGTGAGGCTTTGACCAAGAGCGCCAACTTGTAATTTATGCAAAAATTTGCTGCTGGGATCCACATATGCCAAGAATTTAGGATTATTTCTAGCTTCCTCATCACAGTTAAAGGAAACACCGAACAGGCAGATTCAGTTTGAAACCAACATGGCCTTCACGTGCTTAGACAGAACTATTTTTCCTTGTTCGTCCCTCCATGTTTGCCAATCTCACATAACTCAAATTTAACCAGTAGGACAGTGAAGCCATAGGCATCAAAACTGCTAGTTGAGGCTCAGAGAGAGAGAGAGAGAGAGAGAGAGAGAGAGACTCTACTCCCTTTTAGCAGTGACCACACATATACCCACTGCTGTCAAGAGGTAATGGCAGATCAAACATTGAAAGACTATTTCTCAACCCTTTCTGGCTTAAAGGTAGCAGGACATACTATGCTTGCTGGTTGGGGTCTCTCAGCCTTTGATGAAACATGCTAGACTTGAGAAGACAATTATGACAGGAGTTTGAAAATGTTACAGTTTTGGATGAAGGCTTCTTCAGAATTCTTCAACCTATAAGGCTCTGTAGTACAAAAAGTGACCTTCCCAAATCGCAAGTATGGCAAACTCATTGCCACAGTAATATGTCAGCTACAATCATTTCCTCAGTCACCTACCCTGGGCCCATCCCTACTATAGCACCAGCTGGCTTGCTGCTCAGCTGTTGAGGCAATGGACTATAGCTGAGAACAGTGCCACTTGAAGTTGCCAGGTTTCAAAACAGCAAATTGAGTCTCGGGAAGTTGCTTCCCTAAGTTGTAAGAAAAGAAGACAAACTTTGGGATGGGCAGCGCTACAGGAAGAGAAAGACTATTTTCTTTCTTTCTCTTGTATTTCTTTTAACCTGGGCCCGCACCTTCATCCAATTACTATTGGTGGCAAGGCTTACTGAATCAGGGCAAAGGTACTTAGTATGAGTGTTGTGGCACACTTCCTTCCTTGCCTACTGTGACACCACAGGCATCTAACTTTATAATGTCACAAGGACCCATGGTTCTAATATCATAAAGCCAGAATCAAAGTTTGGACCATTAAATGGGACTCTGCTGACTTGGCAATAGTTCTGCAATTACCTGCTTCTTCAGACTGGTATACTCCTGGGTCAGAGCCCTGGACATCCATTTCTTAGACATCTGCCACGTACCTCATTGGTGGCCTTTAGTCTACTATCTTTCAACCTTGGTACTATACAGAGAGATCCTTGGTACTCATTTTGAGTACAAGCCCTTGTCCATGTATGGGTTCCAAGAATGTCTGATCTTTCTCATACACAAAACTGGTGGTGACATGCTAACACTGAATGTGAACGGGCTATGCATGCAAATATTCCATTTCAAAGCACAAATATTCTTCTTGACAACTCCTAACACACCCAAGGAGAATCCGAATGATGTTGGCAGCTGCTAATAGCTCTAGCAGTTTTCAAACCTGCCAGAAGCAGCTATTTTACAAAGGTAGTGGATTTTAATTCACACTATAAAAGAAACGGTCATAGAACCAGGATAATTCACTGACAAAACCCAATGCCTCCTCCCAGGTACAGTGAGGACTGCAGTCAAATGCAGCGGGGTGGAAAAGGGGAAAGCTTTAGCAGTGTGGCAGCTGTTACCATAATTTTTGTTAATAAAAAATCCTAACCTTTTGACACTGTGCACCTTGACTGTGGGATGCTACTGGCAGGTATCCAGGTAAGAGCCTGTGACCTGCATTCTGTATAAACTGATGCTCACAACTTCCACATTGTAGATGGTGACTTGATGTTATATAATTAAACAATTTAAGACTTGTAGTTGTTCTGTGCCATGAAGTTGGCACTGACTTCTAGCAAACTTAAGAGGACTTTTAAGGTAAGTAAGATATCTAAGGAGTGGTTTTACCAGTTGCACTCCTCTAGTGGGCTTCCATGGCTGAGTGGGGATTTGAACCCTGAGTTTCAGAATCCTAGTCCATCACTCTATTCACTACACCACAATGAGTATCTCAAGACTCATGGTAGAGACAGTATTTGAACTGGTGTTGCCTGGTTCACTGCTCGTTTCACCAGTCATTACAATCTGTGTGTGGTAGTAGGTGTACATGTATTGCACATGTATATATTTTCAAGTCATGAATATAAAGTAAGAATTTATTTAGTCATGTCACTTATGAAAAGCTTGGGAATTTTACTTTTGATGATATCAACTGGGTGATTCTAGGAGTTATAGGCCAGACTTTTCCAAGCTCTGGAATTTATTTATTATTTATTATTATATTTTGCCTTTCTTCCCATGAATGCAAGCATCCTCTTCTACATCCCACTCACTTACAATAACTCTGTCAGGTAGGTCAACACAAAAGCCCAAGGTCACCCAGCATGTTTCAAGGCTTAATAGAACCTGGAACTCCCAAATTCTAGCCCAGCACTCTAATCTTTATATGCCACTGGTGTGTGCGCTAGAGGCTAGGGCATGTGGTTTATTATTTGCAAGTTCACACCATGAACATTTAATCAATAGGAAGATCTTAGGGCATGTTTCATCCATGCTAAGGTCTAATGCTCTAAATTCACCTTTTGTCTATTTCAGATGAAAGGAAGGGGAAGAAAAGCAGGACATATCCTTCTATTGCTGTTGCAGTGTTTGAAACAGCTTCATCTGATCTCTCCCTCATCATTTACTTAACATTAATCAAAAGTTTGTGGCATAGGTATACGGCTCTGGCTTTATTCTGAATGTTAGTTCCAGCTCTTGATTCAGAGCAGCTTCTGATTGGTACCAGCTGCTTTGTCAATGGGCAGATCACATGTTCCTAATTCCAATCCCTGGCTTTTGCCTCATTGCAGTTCAGCACCAGCTGATTGTTTGCTACAAACACTTAATTAATCCAACATGCCTTTAGCCCTATTAAGCAAACAAGAATCAGCAGCATTTTATTTTAAGACTTGCAAATTGAATTCTCTTCTGTACACTACATTAGCTCTTTTCTCATATGTTATGGTGCAAAGAGAGAATTCACCCCCACAGCTAGATCTACAGCTGTAAATCATAATTGCGTATGAAATTTTCATCTTTCCTGTCCTTATTAAATGGCAGCCTCGGACTCTTCTGGCAGAGCTTGGAAAAATTAAGTTTTGGACTCCAACTTCCAGAATCCCCCAACCAGAATGTGTATTTGCAAGTTCCTCAAGTGAAGTTCAGCCTAAACTTCCAGTACAACAACAACAAAAAAACTTTAAAAAAAGTTATTTCATCAAGATTGTCTGAGGTAAGGAAGTATAGCATCGCAATTTTATCATTCATTGTGTTAAGAGTGAAGCAGTCAGATGCAGCTCTGAGATGGAGGGGTTCTACACCAGAGCATACTATATCAGCCTACTCACCCTTAGCATATCACTAAATTTCATAAAATGGTATCAGAGAGGACAGCACTGCACAACTTCACAGGTTCCTATAGGTCTCGATGTTTTATTCTCTTTCAAAAATGGCAGCAGTCAACCAATGAAGACAGAATGGTGGTGATAGGACACACCTGCTGTCATCAGAGGTGCAGGATGGTAAAAAGCACAACTGATTAAAAGTTCTGGCCCTATCATTAGCCAGAATAGGGCAATTGCCTCAAGGTCCATGGAAACAGAACACTTTGTTGGTTATTTAATATCATTATCTGAAAGTCAATAGTCAGTCACAACAACAACAGGCCCATTAAACCCATTCAACCTACACAGATCTTGACTCATTAAATCCCCACAGATTCAATGGGCCTACTCTACCTGCAATTTCAGCCATTGTGTCCTTACACCTAGGAAGAGTGCCAAGTGTTTGTGACATTTTTCCCCATAGATGCCCAAATGATGTGACCAGATTTGGATTGTGTTAGGCACATTGACTCAGGAAGGGCACCACTTGCTGCTCTGCCTCAGGCAGCAAAATATCCTGGGCCAGTCTTGACTGATAAAGTGCTTACAATTTGGACAGTGAAGGGAACAAAACTTGTCATAATTCTCCTCTCAGCCATGAGCCATGCATGAAGCAGCTGTAACAGGTCTGGACATATCAGCTTATTTCAGCTGGCTTAGCATTCTGCACATAGACACAGGAATGAAGAATCATAAAGGAACACATGCTATCGAAAATGCAGCAGCAACAATAACAATAATGGCAAGAACAACTACAGCATTTCCTAAAGCCAGATGTGAGCATCTAAACTCCCCTCTCAACTGCTTGAGAAAACGTGATTTTAGATGGTTTTATTGATTTTAAATATTTTATTTTAAATATTTCCATTTCACGCTATATTTGAAGACCTAAGTGTGAGGGCAATCAATAGTACTATTTAAAACAATATAACATGATTCAGTGGAACCAGGATCAAAGCAGAACATTCTTTCAAGATCTGGGGGTTTTTTGGAAGGCTTTAGTATGAAATTTGACAGCAGCGCACACACTGTCCCAGAAATACTTCGCAGTCCCCGCTCTCGTAACCTGAGCAAGAGGAGAAGCACGGAACGGAGTCTTTGGTTGCAATGTGACCACTTTACTTAGCAAACCCAAAACAAAAACCAGATGTCATGTATTAAAAGGGGCAATGGCATGCGCTCAGGTTGGGCAACGTGGATCAAGAAAAGTTTTCTTGAAAGCCTTTAAACAAAGAGAGAACAGGAAGTGGGAGCAATTTTGTGTCTTCCCAGAAGAATGAATTGAGGTTAAATTTAGATTTCCAAACCTACATATAATCACCAACTCTATTAGTGTAACAGCTGCTATTAGTATGAGGGTGTTTTAACGTCATTCACAGCACAGTGAGTACTATCTCTACTTTTATGCTTAGGGTATTAACTTTTGGAGGGGGAGGGGGCAGGGTTTGAAGCCTTTCTGGATTGTCAGAATTTTTATGTGAAAGAATAAATTTACCTGGTGGGGTCTCCAAAGTGGATTTCTCTTTTTTGTTGGCTTTCTTTGATTTCAAGTCCTTCTTGCCTGACCTGAATCTTGGGGATTCTTCTGTTTCTGTGGGAATCTCCACATCCTCCTCCCTGGGCTGCTCTGTGAAGGGTGAAAATTCCTCATCTGGATCCGAAAAAGAATAATAATGTTCCCTGTTGATGATTTCCTGAAGGTAATAATCCTGATCTTCCAAAGGGAGAGCCCAGTTTGTATTCCCAAACAGACTCAGGTCCAAAACATAGAGTGCCAGACAGATCTGAGCAAAAGAGGCTTTCTTGAAGAGATGGTTCATTTTATTTTGCTTGTATTGCAGGGGATAAAAAGCTCTTCTGTGAAGATCCAATTTATATTCAGCAGGCAGGAAAACAGAGACATTGGCTGTTGAAGAATCTCTAGATCAAGAGCACAGTGCTTCTGCTCTGGACGAGTTTGCAAAAGTTGCAAGTGACGAAGTGGGAGTGAGGACTGGAAATGAAGGGAGGGAGGTTGCTGCCTGAAGTTCATGTGATCACTAGGGCTCACCAGCCAGACACTCACAGAGAGATATAGGAAGGAGAGAGCACGGCACTTGGCAGGTGTGACTCTCCAGGCAAAGTTTCTGCAATTTGTGCTTCTCTCTTTTTCTCTCTCTGTCTCTGTCTCTCTCTTTCCCCCAGTCCCTTTCTCTGCTCCCCATTAAACCTTTAATCAAATGTGGGTCTCATAAGATCCAGTCCTTTGGAGTACTTATATATACTGTCAAGCCTGGACACAATGTTTATTCAGTGAAATGAAAAATTGGCCACAAGCCGCATCCTTCCAAATCCCTTTACAAAATACATCATATCTCTTGCCAGGACTATGTGCAATGTGTATGTAGAGAAATGAGTTCTCCCATGGTTTAAGGATTTCTCTCTCTCCCCCCCCTCACTACCCTGCCTCCAGAATATTAAGATGCCTTACAGATTCTATGCAATACAGAGGAAAACGTGCTTGTGAAAATTCCTTCTACGGCTCCAGCATTTGATGGAAAACAGGTGTAGGGGCAAATCAGCAACAGCATAGAAATTTTGTATATTGCATTGATATAGTCTGCACCATAAAAATCATGGCAGGACTAAGAAGTTAGCAATCAAGATGTTGGGTATATTTAAGTAGTATTCCACTCCCTTTATACTTATTTTCCAGATTTGCAGCTATTTATTTATTTATTTATTAGATTTATACCCCATGCATCTAGACAGATAGTCTGGGTGGCATATCTATAGCTATATCTTCATTCTTTATTATTATTATTAGAGCTTATGCAAAAGTTCTCAAAAATCACTTGAGAGTTCTCTCACACACCCCTGCACACACAGGCACAAAGAGGCTGAGAGAAAATAGGAATGTCCTTTGATAAATTGTTCTAAACATTCTGTGCCATTTTAAATTTCTTGTTTTTCTTACTGTTTTCCCTTCATCATGAACCCTATGTGAAGGATATTATACAGCAGTGGTTTCTAAGCTTGGGTAGCCCAGGTGTTCTTGGACTGCAATTCCCAGAAGCTGTACTGCCCTGGGTTTCTGGGAGTTGCAGTCCATGAGCACCTGGGTTACCTAAAGCTGAGAACCAATGGTGGCCGCCTTGCTATCAATTTAATTATTCCTGCTGTTGTCTGAGGAGGAGGAAGAGAAGCAACAGTAACAGAAATCACTACCGCTGATGAGATCTTCCTTTCCATGAAATGGCTGAAGAATGTCTTCTCTCTCTGGAGAGATTTGGTGAAATGGTCTCTGTTGCCCTGTTTCTCTGCAAACAAATAGGGTGAACGTTTGCTCATAATCTGTAGTCAATTTCCATTTAATTCATCCCCCCCCCCACCTTCTTATTCCATGATCCCATGGAAAATAGCTGAGTTAATACAGGCTTTCCTTTGGCATTCTAAACATTTCCAGATCAGAAACAGAAATGTGACATATAAAAACGTAGCAAATGGGGAAGGACAGATGATGGGAGTCAGTCCAGCAACATCTGGAGGACCACAGGTTGTCCGCTGTGCAGGGAAGAACAATGAATCTGGCAAATGTCTCCATCGGCTCAGTATTTTCCAATCAGTGACAAAGTAAACATCAAAGGAGCCAAAGTAATATCTGTTCCTGCTTGGCTGACTGTGATTATTACTTGATTATGTCTTTTGGAGGACAAAACAATATTTGAAGAATAGAAACAACAGAATTATAACGAGTTTGGCTGCTGTTGGGTTGCTGCCTCCAGTTTAGCTTTTTACGACTTAACTGTGCTCCTTAATGGACACTGGGACGAATAAAAAACTGTGTCAGGATATTTGTGAAATAACACTGATTTGTGAGATATTTGTCCCTATGAAGGGATGAATATTTACCCATTTTCATTTGTCCTTTTGTGCCACAGGCTGTGGAATGGAAACTGGGTTTGCCTTCCCACAGCCAGTCCACTTGTCAATGTGGGAAGAGATCAGTTGGTGGTCCGGACATTGACAAGCAGGCTGGCTCTCAGAACTGTTGTCAATGACCCTCCAATCAGCTGTTCGGCAGAACATTGCATTTAACAACTTATTGATTTGTCCCTAAAACTTGGTGCTTCATCATTTAATCAACTTTGACTAATGACGAATCCCAACAAAGCACCATTTTTTCAATTCATGCCCATCTCTACTCCTTACCTCTTCTTTGACTCCTTGCTATCTTCCTCCCTGTGTCTTTCTCAGAGCTATGAGTATTAGTGAGAATCCTATTACTTAGTTATACCTAGATTAGACAGAGAGCTGGCATCTCAGTAGGAAATTGCCACCAACTAAGAAATCACCCCCTGGCTTTTCTGACGACCTGCAGGAAATAGACGACGCACGCAAGACAGCTGTCATCGACATGGAACTGAGTAGACTGCAGATGGACATTGTTGCCCTGCAAGAGACGAGATTGCCAGACATGGGATCTGTCAAAGAAAAAAACTTCTCATTCTTCTGGCAAGGAAAACCATTGAATGAGACCAGGGAATATGGTGTTGGCTTTGCAGCCAGAAATACTGAGCTGAGATCCACTATTCTACCTACTGAGGGGAGTGAAAGAATCCTGTCTCTGCAGCTCCACTCATTGGCGGGACCAGTCACCCTCATTAGTGCACATGCACCAACACTTGTCATCCACAACAGAAGTCAAAGGCAAATTCTATGACAATCTGGCAGCTACTGTCAAAAAAGTCCCTGAGGGAGAGCCGCTGTTCATTCTTGAAGACTTTAACACTAGAGTTCATGCTGATCATAACTCACCTGTCTAGGCCATTTTTGGCATTGGAAAGATGAATGAAAAAGGCCAACGCTTGCCGGAGTTTTGCTGTTATTATGGTCCTTGTGTCAGCAACCCGTTCTTTAATACAAAACCTCAACACAGAGTTTCCTGGAGACATCCAAGATCCAAGCATTTGCATCAACTCAATCTGATCCTCACTAGCCATTCTAGCCTTCCTAGTATTACGATCACACACAGTTACCAGAGTGCTGATTGCGATACTGATCACTTCCTGGTGTGTAGTAAAATAAAACTGCAAAGAAAGAGATCATATCACACGAAAAAGAAAGGAAGACCACTATTGACATCAACAAGACTTGCAACCAAAGAAAAGTGTTGGAATTTGTCCAAGTGTTTGAGGAAACCTTTCCAGGCCCAGCTGATGCAAATGCACCTGAATGATGGGAACTTTTCAAGAACGCTGTTTATAACACTGCCTTGTTCACATTTGGCAAGAAGACCAAAAAGACGGCCGACTGGTTCGAAGCCCATTCATCGAGGATAAGAGGAGATGCCAGCCATCGAGGATAAGAGGAGAGCTCTAGCAGCATACAAAGCCTGTCCTAGTGAGTACAACTAGCAGGCTCTTCGACTTGCTCATAGCAAAGTCCAACAGACTGCCAGGAGATGTTCCAATGATTATTGGCTTCAGCTCTGCTCTCATATACAGATAGCAGTGGACACAGGTAACATCAAGGGAATGTATGACATTATCAAGCAGGCTTTAGGTCCAATACAGAAGAAATCTGCTCCCTTGAAGTCTGCTACAGGCGTGATCATCTAGGACTGAGCAGATGGACCGCTGGGTGCAGCACTACTCTGAGCTATATTACAAAGAGAATGTAGTAACCAAAGAAGCAATAAATAACATTGAGTGCCTGCCTGTCTTGGAAGAGTTGGACAGCAAACCAACTTTAGCAGAAATAAAAGCAGCCTTGGATTCCCTCACCTCCAGCAAGGCTCCTGGAAAGGATAACATCCCTGTTGAAGTGCTGAAGTGTTGTAAAGA